GGCTTTAATTTTATTTACAAGGAAAAAGCTATGTAATATTTTAAAAGCAGTTTGAAAATTATGTTAGTACATTGTTATAACTAATTAGTATTTTTGCATATTTTAAGAAAGAAAAACAAGAGTTTTATGAACCATAATTTTCAAATTCCTGGAAATCTGGCTAGAAGCAAAATAAATTTTGAGATAAATTTTCTTTAGGATTAAAATAATATTTCTCTATCTCTACACAGAGAGGATTAATGTAGACAGTAATCTAGTTATAATTTAATTCCACTTCTGTCTCCAGTAGTAATTTTCTTGTTTGACTCCTTTCCTACTTTAGTTCCTATATTTAGAATGAGAGTAATGGGTGGTAATACTTTCCATTTCCTAAAATATGCACAGATTATACATATTACATTAGTGTTATATCATGAGGGGGAAATGTCACAGTATACTTTAAGAGCAGCTAATTTTATTAATTATCTTTGGGCATCTATTTGACTAATTATCATTCTACATTATAATAAGTTAAATGCAAGGGTTCTAAATTATACTACATAACTGTAATATAAAAAGACCAGGGAAGCAGAGAAGATGTAAAGTAAAACTGGGCTATTGGAATACTGTGAAGGAGCACTGAAGTTTGAAGACAAATTCTATAAAATAGCATAGGAATCATTGTTGACAAGTGATTTCACAGGAAAATTAAACTAATCAAATTCCTCCTTTTTATTGCAATTCTGAAATAAATGTTTCCCCAGAAGAACAACCCAATCTGTGTCAGAAGAAGTACAGCCAGAATGCTTCTTAGAAGCCAGGATGGCGAGACTTGCATCTCTCTCTTACTTTGGACATATTTTCAGGAGGGGCCAGTCCCAACAGAAAGACATCATGCATGTCGAAAAAGTGCAAGAGTCCCCATGAGATGGACTGGCACAGTGGCAGCAGCAGTGGGCTCAAGCATAACAACAATTGTGAGGATGGCACATGACTGGGCAGCATTTCATTCTGTTGTGCAAAGGGCTACTATCAGTTGGAACCAACTCTATGGCACCAACCAACCACAACACCATCTCTGATAACTAACAGAAACTTTTGTTATTCCAATATTTCTTGCCTTCTTTTTCCATCTCCCCACCAAAAGAACTATGTATAGTGTTGTAATGTACTGAGGATTTATTTCTAGGCTCCAATGCATTCTTTATTATTTTTGAAAACTCTTAAGCCTTAATTTAGCAAATGTTTCTTGATGCATAACATGTTTGAGGACCGCAGAGGAAGTAGTTGTGTGCTGGGCAGAGTGGTGAATGGAGGAGGAAGAGCTTCAACTTTGATGCCAGATAGATCTCAGTTGAGTCTCTGCTAGTTTTGGTATTTTTGGAAGGTTCTTTCTTGCATATCAAAAGGAGTATAACACATAAGGACTCCTGGAGTGGCACTGGACTGCTAACAGCAAGGTCAACAGTTCAATTCAACAGCACTTAACAACAACCTATAACAATGGTTAAAACAGATCAATTATCATAACAATGTGTTGTTGTTGTTAAGTGCCCTTGAGTCAGTTCTGACCCATAGTGACCTTGTATAGGGTTTTCAAGGAGCAGCTGGTGAGCTTGAACCGCCGGCCTTGCTGTTCAAATGGCTTTGCAGTCTGGCGCATTAACCCACAGTGCCACACCAGGACTCCTTCATAAAAATAGTCACTTATTATTAAGCTGGAAAGGGAATATAAAGGTGATTATATAAAAAAATATATAGGATAATCTAAAGCAGTGTTTCACAGTTGGGGAAGATTTTGCTGCCCCCACCCCAAGTGGACATTTGGTAAAGTTTGGTTAGAGACAGTTTTAGTTTTCATGACTGTTAGAAGTGGGTTGCTACTGGCATCTAGTGGGTACTGCCCAGACCCCAACAATGCACAGACCCTCCCCCCACAACAAAGAATTATGTATCAACAAAAAAGGTTTAAATGTCAATAATTCTGCTATTAAGAAATCTTGCTTTAGTGAGGGAAAAAAATGTATATAAAACACAAGGGGGGTTCAAAAAGTTCATGGAAAATAGAATTAAGAGATGATGGAATTTTTTTCATGAACTTTTTGAAGTTTCATATATACACATAGGTATGTTCACAAGTATGTGGGAGTCCTGGTGTGGCACTGTAGGAAAAGGACTGGACTGCTAACTGCAAGGTTGGAGGTTCAAACCCACCAGTTACTCCTCAGAAACCTTATACAGGGTCGCTGAGTCAGAACTGACTCAACAGCAATTAGTAACAACAACATAAATATGTGTGTGTGTATACAAATATATTTACAAATTTTGTTTTTCCTTCACTAGATACACATATGCACACACAAACAAACAAGGGCAAATCAAAATGTATTACTATTAGAGCTTCAGTTCAAACATGCATGGGTGTATTACAAACTCAATGTGTTTAAACATGTCTCTTGTTGGTGGGTGGCTGTAGACAGGTTCTCTCAGTAATATACCTGTCTTAGTCTCTTTAGTGTGCCTTCAAAAAAAGTGACATGCTTTTTATGTCATGGGAAAAATTATTTTGAGATTAGGGCTAATATCTAAGTTTTAACAACATTCAAGTGAACATCTTCCCAATTCATTGAAATCCTGCAACAAGTTTACAGTTTTTAGATGGATCAAAATTTTAAGAAAGATCTCAAAGATGAATTCAAGGCAGAAAAATCAGCTCAGAAGGTTATGGTGACTGTTTTTTGGAACTCCAAAGGGGTATTTATAAATGGTTTTGAAGGATGCAGGATGGTCACAGGAGGTTGTTATGAAGAAGTTTTACGAGAAAAGAAAAGTTTATTGGTGAGAGAAAGGCCAAGAAAGTTGTGTAAAAAAAATTTTTCCCCATCATCACAAAGCACCTTCTCATTCTTTGAGGGTAGCAAGGATTGTCCTATGAGAATTTTGTTGGGAAACCTGACCTCATCACACTACAGGTCCAGTCTTGTCCCAGAGACATCTTTTTTGTTCCCCAAACTAAAAGAACATTGAAAAGGAATAAGATTTGTGTCCCTGAAGGATGTCCAAACTACCTTGTAAGGAAGGGCAAAGAGTGTTGACTACGTTAAGCATTAAGCTTAAAGGATGTCTGCATTTTCTACTGATCAAGGGAACCAGCTGGACCCTTTCTTTCTGGCAGTGAGAAGGGGAGGGTAGTTGGAAGAGAACAATGGCATGTGGGCTTCCAGGGCATTGCCCTGGGCAGTGCAGGTCCCTGCAGGGTATCTCCTAGAACTCACCTGTCCAGGCAGCAACATTTTATAGAAAAGAATAAACAGTGATTCTTGATCCCCTTTCAATGCACTACAACATGCTGCAGATGATAGGAGGGAAGATTGCTCTTCAGAGGTCTACCATTTCCCCTCCCACCATCCCACATTGAGGTGAGGAATGGGTTGTTTGGCTGTTGGGTGCCATCTAGTTGATTCCAACTTATAGCAGCACATGTAATAGAGTAGAACTGCCCTATAGGGTTTTCTAGGCTGTTATCTTGATGAACCAGGCCTGTGGAATGCAGTGTTTAGAACCACCAAGAACTTAGCCACGGGAAGGAAGAAAACCAGCAGACTTTGCCCCTTCCCTCCAGCCACCAGCACAGCCAGCAATGGGGAGGGGAAACTGTCTTGGATATGAGGTGGCATCTTCAACTGGACTTGACTGAGTTTTTTAATATCGAAAAGTGACCATGGAAGTTATAGCATCTGTCCTGGGTATTAGTAAGGGATCTCTACCCAGCAGGCGAAGGAGAGTCAACACAGCACAGCCGGGGGCAGGATTGGAGAGAAATAAAGCCATTTTCTCTTTGCACCCTACAGAGTAGAGATTGTTCAATAAACCATTTAGATCTGATTAAGGGCTTCATATTCTTATAACTAAAGTCAAATCACTGAGTCTGTGATGTGTGACTATGTTTATAAGTGGTGAGTGTAAGACTAGATTTTTTTTTTCCCTCTGAATTCAAAAAGTTGCAATATTAAATGAGAAAAGATGCACATCAGAAGGCAAATTTCCAGATCCATTAGAGAAGGCAAAGTCAAAATCGTTGCCTTTTTTATCTTCTTAAGTCTAAGAGTTTTCTTTTTCATATAATATGCATGGAGAGATTGTTGTTGTTAAGTGGTAATTGCTTTCAAGTTGGTTCCAACTCATAGCAACTAGTGGGTTTGAAATGCCAACCTTGTGGTTAGCAGTCCAGTGCTTATCCTGTAGCATCACACCATGACTCCATAGGGAGGTAACAGGTTTTAAATTTGAAATGTATCAAATACTCACTAACAGTGGCTGTAATGGAAGAAAATTAATGTATGAATACATGTTTATAAAAGATTTACTATACATGCTCAAGTATGTGGGGGGCTTCAAAGAGTTGGTAGAAAGTTCCATTATCTTTTAACTCCATTTTTTTCATGAAATTTTGGAAGCTTCCTTGTATTTATCAACCATGTCATTCAGTTAAATTGTTTAATTTTCACTAAAATATTTGTCAACCTTCTGTTCCGTTTCTATGTAATTTTTTCCTTAAGTATAAAAGTATCAAAGTGGTTGGCGCACATGGTTAGCATGCTAGTCGTATGCTAACAGAAAGGTCGGAGATTAGAATTTGCCCACAGGTATCTTGGAAGGAAGGGCTAAGGATGCACTTCTGAAACATCAGCCATTGGCAACCCGATGGAGCTGAGGTCTGCTGTGACACGTGGCGTTGTTGTGAGTCGGGAGGGACTCGGTGGCAACTAGTTAGTAATGTGGCTTCAGTGTACCTCTCTGTGTCACTTGTCATTACCAGAGGCTTCTTAAATATTTGCAATGCTTTTAAAATTTTTTTTAATTTAGATAATTGTTATTTACAGAGTGTATTATAATTCTCTAAATGATTAGCTGTATTGACAAGGAAAGTTTGCTGGGAATGATACAACCCCGAGCGATGCAGATGAGTGCCGTGACTCTTCATTCATTGGCTTGCTGGAAAGCTGTTGTCAGGTTACAGGTCACAGCTTTCTGTCATCTTCAGGGGTGGGCTTCAGATTTCTTATTTTTCTCATTTCAGTTCCCAGACTCCTACAATGTAAGCCAGCACAACACAATTTGCACAGTTAACATGTGGAATTTTATCAAAATATAGGCCACCTTCCTAATTGCCTAATTATACTTGAGTTGAATTATGTTGCACATGAAATGAGGGAGATATCGGTGAGTTCCTGCAATTGTAATGGCCACTGAGAGTCAAAAACTTACTGTTGACTCATCTGACCCTCACTACCACGCCGCTCTCAACATTTGCCTAGTTGCTCAAATCTACCTTGGTGTAATATCTCAGTGCTTCAGCAGAAGCATCAGCAAGTCTCCCGATCTCGGTGAGTAATGACTAACAGTCTGTGTTCTGTGCTCACTGTCTCCTTTTGGCCTTCTTGCATCTCCTCTGCAAATCCTTTGCTCTTGCCAAACTCAACCCCAGCTGTCCTTGGCTTACCTTGCTTTAGTGCCATTGCTTATACTCTTTTCTTTGCCTGAAATATTTTCTCTCCTCCCTGCAACCTTTGAATATTCAAAATAAGAGTTACCCATCAAAGCCCAACTCATGAAATACCCAGATTCTCACAGGCAGAACAAAACTCTTATTCTGAACCATGTTATCAGGAGGGACCAGTCCCTGGAGGAAGGGCATTATGTTTTGTAAAGTGGAGGATCAGTGAAAAAGAGAAAGATCCCCAATGAGATGGCTTGGCACAGTGGCAGCAGCAATGGGTTCAAGTGTAACAATTGTGAGGTTGGCACATTCTATTGTGCATAGGGTCACTATGAGTCAGAACCAACTAGATGGCACCTAACAACAACAGTAACATAGAACTAGAATTCTAGTAAATGGAATGGACACCAAATATATTATACACCAGACAGGGATAAATACAATAGAGAAAATAAAGAAGTTTAAGGGAGAGCCAGGGACTGTCTGAGAAGGTCTTGCTGACAGATGACACAGCTTGCCACCTTACTTTTTTCAAGTCTTAGCTAAACTGTCATATTCCACTTTGCATTAGAACATTTTGTTTTACATGTACTCTTACTAGTAATAATAGGTTGCTATTGTTTTTAGGTGCTGGCAAATTAATTCTGACTCATAGCGACCCTGTATAGGGCTGTTGAGGCTATAAGTCTTTATGGGAGCAGAAGGTCTCATTTTTTTCTGTGGAGCAGCTGGTGGGTTTGAACTGCTGACTTCCTGGTTGGCAATCTGGTGCTTATCGTATGGTACCACAAGTGCTTCCAATAAGAGGTGGTGGTGATGAATAATGGGTAGGTTATGGAGACCTGGCGTGGCACTGCAAGCTAATGTGCTGGACTGTAAGGTCAGTTTGAACTGCAAGATTGGTGGTCCAGGTCTACCAACTGCTCCTTGGAAACCTTATCCTGGGTTGCTATGGGTGGAATGAACTCAATGGTACTTAACAACAACAACAACATCTTACATAATTCATTTTAAAATCTTTTATAGTACCTTGCATTCTAATATATATATATTGTTGTTCTGGGTCATAGTGACCTGATTGGGTAGAGTAGAACTTCCCAGAGGATTTCCTAGACTGTAATCTTTATGGGAGCAGAGTGCCAAGTCTTTTCTCCCATGGATCCACTGGTGAATTTGAACTGCAGAACTTCCAGTTGCAACTGAGCTCTTAACCATTGCATCACCTAACACAAATAATTACTAATTGATGCAAAGAATGAGATCAGGATTATTTATAAAATAGGATCCAGGAAAAAGAAAGAGCCTTGTTTACAATTTGGGGAAGAAAACCTTCTGAACTTGAGACTTGGGTTACTGAGATAGCATCCTTGGTACTTGTGGACAATTCCCTTCTGTATCAGAGCGGTATATGCTAGACAATATATTGCAGAGTTAAATTCCCAATCCTGTCACCACATGGGTTTACCCTGTGCAGCTATACAATCATGAGACTGATGCCCAAGTGTGGTTTAGGAGAGATCATCTCATTACTAGAATGATGCCTGTACAGTTCTATAGGCATTGATTTCCCTATATCCTGACTGTTTTCCTTCTTGATATTTTGAAAAGATAATAATGCCTTTTATATTTCTGGACCAGCTTTCTGTAACTTTTTGGTTATTAGGTATTTACCTTGGGTGTGTTTGGTCAGGATTCTGGATTTCTTGGGGCTGACAGCTCAGGGAGTAAAGTAACTCACTGACAGATGGTGAATCCATGGATTGTTGGATTAAACCACTCAGTGTCCTAGTGACACTTTTAGCTGTTGTTCTCCCAAACCTTTGGGGCAGATTAGGAACACGTCTCAAGATGCTTCCTCTCATATTTCTTCCAAACCTCAGAGGCAAGATGGCCATTGGCCTAGGACTTTGTGCTTCCATGGTTCTTCCAAACCTCAATGGCAAGTTGGTGACCGAGTGTGGCATTTTGTTGACTGCCAGTGTACTCATCTTAATGATATTTTTTGGCCCCCAATCTTTCAATTCTTCAAAATTGAGGCTTCTTTCCTTTTCCCTTTTGGGGTCTCCTGTAGACTATAATTAGAAGTGACCATTATAATTTCTTATTGTTACAAGCAACAGAATTCAACTCCCAATTAACTTAAATTCATACTCTAATCTGCAGGATTGTTGAGGTTATAAACAAAGTTTGTGTTCTCGTTGCAGAATTTTTTAATAAATAATTTGCATTAAGCTTAAAGCAATCTAGTTTCTCAGTCCCTAGACTATTAAAGACAACTATAAAATATTAATAAAATATATATGTAGTGACTATAGCAATGCGTTCCAGAAGCAGGAACATAATGAAGAATTAAACTGAGGCAAAGGTTTTTCTACAATTTATTCTCTTTCAGTTCTTTGCTCCATCTTGTTTATAAAGTATTTGGTATATTTTGATTGTAGAGAAAACTCACCATTCCCTCTCCATGTCTCTTCTTTTTGCCCTTCTTTAAAGACCAAGTGGTGAATGCATGGGAAAGGAGCTGAGAACTAAGCTTTGGGGTATAGTTTGTAGGAGGTCAAGTTGAATTTCTTTTTACACGTTCATACACTGAACTCTACTCTAAAATAGTTTCTCAAGAAATGAGTTGTAATTTTATTAGAATATACATCTTTAGGAAAGAACCCATTGGTTTGTGTCTTACCAACAAATGTCAAACTCTACAGGAATCATTTAAAATACATGAAATCTTTAATTAGATTTACTTCAAATAAGGTTTACTTACCATGAAGAAAGTCTAGTGGCTCAGTGGTTAAAGTACTTAGCTGCTAACTGAAAGGTTAGTGGCTTGAACCCCCAGGCACTCTGTGGGAGAAGGATGTGGTGGTCTGCTTCCCTAAGGAGTCACAGCCTGGGAGAGCCTACAGGAACTGTCCTAGTCTGCCCTGGAGGGTTGCTCTGAATCAGAATGGACTGCACGGCAATGAATTTGGTTTGTTTTGTTTTATTAATCGAAGATTTTGAAATGATGCTGCCTGTTTGTAAGATTTGGACAGCATAAAGCATAAAGAAGAAAATAAAAATAACTCGTAATTTCACCACCTAAATATAAACACTGTACTTAGATACAGCTTTAACACGAACTTGTTGCTATTGTTGTTGTTAGATTTCAACTTAAATTGTCATTAGACAGGCCAGGCTGCTTGCTGTTTTCCTAAATAATACAAGTTATACTACACTGTTATACTAAGGCTTGAAGTTTAACCAAATGATAAGCACTAACTTACCCTTTGCAAAACCATTAGAGTTAGTACAGATATTAAACTGTTATAATAGTCACATTGAGTTTAAAAGAACTTACCTCAGAATATTTGTTATAATTTTCTTTGCTATGAAGATTGGATATGGTGAAATCACCTCCACTGAAGACATTGGTTGTGAACAAGCTTGAAGTAGCCAAAGTCAGTAAAATGAATCGTTTGGATGAAATAATTTCCATTTTGTCATAAGAAAAAAATGCAGTCTATATGTGCAGCTTGGTGTCTACAGGTAAAGAAATCGTGAGTTTGTTTTCTTCTTATATACTGTCAAAAAACAAAGGCCTTTCCTTTAACCGTGAAATCAAGCTCACATGTTTTAAGTATTAACAGTAATTAGAATGGGCAAAAAAATGTGCATGTTAGGAATGTGGGTAATTTATTCTGGGAAGATGGCAATGCTTCTGCTTAAGTAAATTAATTGACTTGAAAATAATTTTCCTCATTATGAAAGGGATTCTAATTAGGCAAGTTTGGGATGATAGTAATTAAGATTCCAAACAAGTAGAATGCTTTATTTCTCTGAGCTTAAACAAAAAACTATTTTGTGTTTGGTGTCTGTGTTAATTCATGAGGGAAGGATGTTAAAAAAAAAAAAAAAGTATTCAGTATGTGCTATTTAAAAACAAACAAACAAAAAACCCACACAAAAGAGTTAGACATAGTATTTTTTAAATGTCAGAGACAAAATTAAGAATGTGTAGAGAGTCCTAAGTCACATAATACCAAAATAAAATGGCATTAATTAACTTTTTGTAAAATGCTATTTGGTTCTTAAAAAGCTTTAGGCGTAAATGTCACTGTTCCGGTGCAGGACAAGCAGAGCCCATTCCTGAGGCATTTTGACAAACTGGCTGTCTCCAGAGAAGCTGGAGGCAATTCAAGGCTTTTTGAGGTTGCCCCGCAGGCCTTATTTGATGAATCTGTGTAAATCAGCATTTTATTTCTATGGCAATGCTGCATCTTACCTTCCTTCTGAAAGTCCTGAAAAACATTAGCAGGGACTTGGTGAACCACACACTTGCTGATTTTGTTGCTCCCTTGGCCTACAGTATTTAGATAACCTCTCATTGCCACAGGCATACTCCCTTTGTAACAAAGGAAGATAATTTGCAGAAATAAAGACTTATTTGTGGAAATGCCAAGGTGATTGTCTTTCTGAGCAGCTGAGAGTTTCTAAAGAAACCTTGTTTTGCTCCAACAGGCAGGCACCTGCCCATTCAACCCTCTCTAGAGAAAAAGACCTTACATTTATTTCCAACACCCCAGCTGTTTCTAGACCTGGAATGAGCAAGTCACAAGCATCGTAACACCTCTCTCTCTCTCATCAACCTACTATAGCTTGAGATGTGAGATGGGTCGTGAAGACCTTTCTGTGTGCAAAGATTCCAGAATAAATCTGAAAGTTTATAAAACAACAGTGGATCAACTCTGGTGGCGCCTAGACATCACATTTGCCGATGCTCCGCCTCTCTTAAGGCATCTTATATCATTGGTCTCATTTGTTATGGTCTGTGGTAGCCAAAAAACCCCTACAGTAGGAGGCAATTAATTTAATTCATGGTCTAGTGTTAATTTTGTAAAGCTGTTATTGGATTATTTGGGTTTAATTTCCCTGAGGATTTAATATATTTCTCTTCCAAATTGTTCCTTTGCAAACTGCTGATGAAACTTCCTTTTTTTGTGGTCAGTAGATCCAAACTTTTGAGAATTGTGGTAGCAAGGGGGCAAGTTATGTTTACCGAGTTTACATTCTTGATAAAGGGGAAGGGACCCCCTTTACCCAACTAAATGGCTACCCCAGAACTAAAATCAAGATCCAGTTTTTAAATTCAGCTAGACCTGAAATCTTCACTTCTGTTGTTCCTAAAAGATAATTCAACTACTTGTAAAAGTTTAACAGCTTGTTGTACAAAAGGAGCAAGGGTGAGCATTTTTAGTTTGCACTAGGGATTGTTTGTTAAAAGATGTTTGTCAAGAATGTTTGTGCAGGTTGTCCTAGGAGGAATACTTGTAGTCAACATGTCCCAGGAGACTAGGAAATAAAATTGATGGTAGATAGCAGGTTAAGATGGAACCCTACAATTGTCTCCTAACTAAGTAACCAAGAAGACATAAACGTCAATCAACCAAGTCTTTGTTCTAGTTTCCTAATTCCCCCAAACCAGGTTTCACTTCTGCTAACTCTTGGTGAATCTGTAACTAAGGTAGAAGCATAGTTTGTTTCTTTAAGATAAGGGGAGGAGGCAAACATGCAAGTGGACTCAATTGTTCCATATTAGCATGTTGAGGAACATTTAACAGCCCTCTGTGACAATTTGCCTTTTACTCTTTCCATCCTATGAACTCTTGGTTTACCCCATATGATAAAAATCTGCCTTTTTGCCATTTGGGACCTATTAATATCCTGCTTGGATACTAGAATGTGTCCCATTTTGTGGAATATTTTTCACAATTAATTTTTTACTTCCTTCTAATGGTGTGTCAGTCTGATACTTCACTACAGTAGTGTTTATCCAAAGTTTGTAGATAGTTATCACTTACAAATAACTTCGACACTTTAGAAACTCACCAGTTTTCATTACTACTATTTAGGAAAGTGAAGAAGACTTAAAATATTTACTGATGAAGATTAAAGAGCACAGCCTTCGGTATGGATTGCATCTCAACGTAAAGAAAACAAAAATCCTCACCACTGGACCAATAAACAACATTCTTATCAATGGAGAAAAGATTGATGTTGTCAAGGACTTCATTCTTCTTGGATCAACCATCAACACTCATGGAAGCAGCAGCCAACAAATCAAAGGACATATTGCATTAGGCAAATTTGCTGCACGAGACCTTTTTAAAGTGTTGAAGAGCAAAGATGTCAGCTTGAGGAGTAAGGGGCGCCTGACCCAAGCCATGGTATTTTCTATAACCTCATATGCATGCGAAAGCTGAACAGTGAATAAGGAAGACCCTAGAAGAATTGATGCTTTTGAGTTACCGTGTTGGAGGAGAATATTGAAAGTGCCATGGGTTGCCAAAAGAACCGACAGATCTGTGTTGGAAGATTGTAGCCAGAGTACTCCTTGGAGGCAAGGATGGCCAAACTTTGTCTCTCATACATTGGACATATTGTCAGGAGGGACCAGTAGTTGGGGAAGGATATTATGTTTGGTAAGGTGGGGGTCAGAGAAAAAGAGGAAGACCCCCAAGATGGATTGGCAATGTGGCAGCATCAATGGGCTCGAGTGTGGCAAGATAGTGAGGTTGGCCCAGGATTGGGCAGTGTTTTGTTCTGCTGTGCATAAGGTTGCGGGGTCGCTTGCTATAAGTTGATACTGACTACAGCCCTCAGTATGGATTGCACCTCAATGTAAAGAAAACAAAATTCCTCACAACTGGAGCAGTAAATAACATCATGATAAATGGAGAAAATGTTGAAGTGTTCGAAGACTTCATTATGCTTGTATCCATGATCTACACTCATGGAAGCAGCAGTCAAAAAATCAAATGATGTATTGCATTGGGCAAATCTACCACACAAAACCTCTTTTAAAAAGTGTCAAAGAGCAAAGATATCAGTTTGAGAACTAAGGTGTACCTAACCCGTCATGGTATTTTAAATTGCCTCTTATTGCATGTGAAAGTTGAACATGTTGGGCTGCTAAATGCAAGGTCAGCAGTTCAAATACACAAGATGCTTTGAGAGAGAAAGATGAGACTTTCTGTCTCATAAAGATTGGCAGTCTCAGAGACCCTAGGCAGGGTTGCTATGAGCTGGAACTGACTCCTACTACCACCACTCCCAAGCCCAGGCACTTTAAGTCTCCCTTGTGTCTTTTTCTTGACTCCTTTTCATAAGTGAATTGCATGAAGTTCTCTTGCCATCCCCATCTCCACTTTTCTTTTCATGCTTACTTCCTCTGTGTCTCTCAGAGACCATGATGTTGTTGTTGTTGTGAAGTGCCGTTGAGTCGGTTCCGACCCATAGTGACCCTGTATAGGGTTTCCGAGGAGCAGCTGGTGAGCTTGAACCGCCGACCTTGCAGTTCAAACGGCTTTGCAGTCTGGGGCATTAACCCACAGCGCCACACCAGGACTCCTTGGACTCCAGTAAATACACTCACATTCTCAGCCACCATTTCTTTCCCAAATCACAGAGTTTCTCTTCCTCCTGGACTTGCTTTTACTCTCACTCTATAATTTGCATTTGGAGTAAAATGGGATCCTTCGTGGAGTAGGAAGAAGCAGATGAGAAGTGTGACTGAAGCTCTCAGGCTGCATCATAATTCTGGACTACTTCCTATTTTGGAAAACTGGAGAAATAAGCAAGCATCACTGACTGCTGACACTCTTCTTCACCTGATACATGATTTTAGGCTCTCCACAGACTCTGGTAGCGTAGTGATTATGAATCAGGCTGCTAATCTCACGGTCAGCAGTTCGAAACTACCAGCTGTTCCGCAGGAGAAAGATGAGGCTTTCTGCTTCTGTAAAGATTTACAGCCTCAGAAACCCTGTACAGGGTCACTATGAGTCGGAACCGACTCCACAGCACATAACAACAACAACAACAACAGACTTGCAGTACAGGGATGTTCATGGTGCCGTGGTAGAGTTCCGGCCTTCCATGCAGGAGACCTGGATTTGATTCTTAGTCAATACTTTGTGCACAGTCACCACTATCAGTCCGAGGAGAGGTGTGTGTTGGTATGATGCTGAACAGCTTTCAGTGGAGTATCTAGACTAAGAAGGTGTAGGAAGAAAAGCATAGGGATCGACTTCTGAAAATCAGCCAGTGAAACTCTATGGACCACAGTGGTCCATCCACAACTGATCAGGGGATGGCACAGGATTGGGCAGCCCTTCCTTCTGTTGCACACCGTCCCGATGAGCTGGAGGTCTACTCAGTGCAGCTAACGGCAGCAACAATACCCTTCTAAGCCACCATTGTGGCTATTTTTGCTATTGTCATTGAGTAAAATGAGACTTCTCGTAGAATATTTAAAATAAGAGGTTGTGTTTGTGCTGTGAGTTGCTAGTTCCTGTTTAAGCTCACTCCACACTTTGATCTTGCCTCTTGAAGCCATGATGAAGTCTTCAAACAGGTGGTTAACTTTAGTGCCTACAGGAACTTCAGTATGGAGCTGTCCTCGTCCTCCTCCTGGCTGTTCTCTACTAGTGCACTGGC